AGCTGGCCCGCCAGCTATTTTAAGCTGGCCCTCGAGCTCCCGCTGGGGAGCGGGGTCTGGGGCTTGCCCCACTCCAGCATGCCAGCCGGGGTGCAGAGTCGGGGGCCGCTCCAGCTGGCTCCTGGAAGCAGCGGCATGGCCCTGCTCCAGCCAGGGAGCAGGGTCGGGGGCCACTCCATGCGTCTCCCAGCAGCAGCGGCATAACCCACCTCTGGCTCCTACACATAGGGGCAGCCAGGGGACTCGGTGCTGCATGCTGCCCCCACCCCAAGTGCCGCCCCTGCAGCTCCCATTGGCGGGAAACTTCAGCCAATGGGAGCTGCACGGGTGGTGTCTGCGGATGGGGCAGCACACAGCGCTCCCTGGCCCCACCTCCACATAGGAGCCAGAGAAGGGACATGCCGCTGCTTCCGGGAGCCGCTTGAGGTAAGCACTGCCCAGAGCCTGCACCTCTGAGCCTCTCCCCACACCCCAACCCCCTGCCCCAGCCCCGATCCCCCTCCTGCCCTCCAAACCCCTTGATCTCAGCCCTGAGAACCCTCCTGCACCCCCAGCCAGAGCCTGTGCCCCTTCCCACACCCCAGCACCCCAACCCTGATTCTCCTCCCACTCTCTGAACCCCTGAGTTCCAGCCCAGGAGCCTGCACCCCCAGATGGAGCCCATGCCCCATGCCCCTGGCTAGAGCCCCCTCCCGCACCCTGAACTCCTCATTTCTGGCCCCACCCTGGAGCCCGCACCCCCTCCCATACCCAACCCCAATTTTCTGAGCATTCATGGCCCACTACACAATTTCTATTCCCTCAGGCCAAAAAGTTTGCCCACCCCTGAACTAGATGGTGAGTTATGACTTCTTTAGAGTGTGCAAGAAATCAAGTTAATGCTAGAGTGACTTGGTGAAAAGCCTCTTCCCTTCTATTAAATCAACACGTCTTTTCAAGAGTGAGAAGTTAATTTATGCATCAGGATCCATGCAGGAAGTGGTCACTGTGCAGCCATGCCATGGGCTCTGTGTTTTGCACTCAGGGCTCTGGAAATGGAGAAGGAGAAACCACTTCCCGGAGTTCACTATTGAACATTGTAGCAGTATCTGGAGGCCACCAGCCATTGTACTGGGTGATGTACAAACAAAGGAATGTCCCTGTTCCAAAGCGCTGACCCGTTAAACGATCACGAATAACAAATGGATGAGACAAAGAAGCAGGCTTGGGTGGGATGGGGTAAAAGGGGATGTGCAGAATTGCTAGTCGGGCAGTAGCAGTGATCTCTCCCCTGCTTAGCCGTTCTCATTCCCAAGTACATTACCGAAGAGGGACTTGAAGGACGAGTTGGAGGCTTTCTGCATGCTGACTGGGAGCTTTTCTCACGTGTAAGGGGCAGCATGAGAGAAAGCATGGAAGAGATTGGAGGGAGCAACATTGGAAAAGTTGGCGTTAACCTTACACTAAGATGACACCTGTGACGAACTGGGACTGTTCTTAATGTGGTCTATGAATGCTGAGTGGGAAGTTTGGCTGGGACGGTCTGCATTGGGGGATGGGAGACTGGCCTTGAGGGAAGATACCTGAGCATGTAACGTGAGAACCCAGGAAGGGGGTTGGAGGCCAGGTGACACCTCTGCCTGGGAAACTGGACAAAGGCGGGGGGAGGAGTCGGGGGAGGCTGGGTGAGAGAGGCTGGAGGGGGTGAGAAGTTCAGGAGCTGGCTGGTGTAATGGAGGGGAGCCCAGATGGGACTCTGACCCCCAAATGGGGCTGTGGTGCCCCTGGGACCCCAAGATGGACCTAACTGAGGGGGTTCTGTTGTCTGTGCCTGCAAGACCTGTCTTGGACTGTGTTCCTGTTGTCTAAATAAACCTCCTGCTTTACTGGCTGGCTGAGAGTCATGGTGAATCGCAGGAAGCCGGGGGTGCAGGGCCTTGTGCCCCGCACACTCCGTGACAACACCATAATAGAGGCTCAACTTAAATATATGCCCCGCATTAAAAACCATAGTAAGAGAACCAAAAAAGTGCCACCGTGGCTAAACAACAAGGTAAAAGAAGCAGTGAGAGGCAAATAGGCATCCTTTAAAAAGTGGAAGTTAAATCCTAGTGAGGAAAATAGAAAGGAGCATAAACTCTGGCAAATGACGTGTAAAAATGTAATTAGGAAGGCCAAAAAAGAATTTGAAGAACAGCTAGCCAAAGACTCAAAAAGTAATAGCAAAAATTTTTGTAAGTACATCAGAAGCAGGAAGCCTGCAAAACAACCAGTGGGGCCACTGGACGATCGAAATGCTAAAGGAGCACTCAAGGCCAATAAGGCCAGTGCGGAGAAACTAAATGAATTCTTTGCATCGGTCTTCACGGTTGATGTGAGGGAAATTCCCAAACCTGAGCCATTCTTTTTAGGTGACAAATCTGAGAAACTGTCTCAGATTGAGGTGTCATTAGAGGAGGTTTTAGAACGAATTGATAAACTAAACAGTAATAAGCCACCAGGACCAGATGGTATTCACTCAAGAGTGCTGAAGGAACTCAAATGTGAAATTGCAGGACTACTAACTGTCATCTGTAACCTGTCATTTAAATCAGCTTCTGTACCAAACGACTGGAGGATAGCTAATGTGACGCCAATTTTTTAAAAAGTGCTCCAGAGGAAACCCTGGCAATACAGGCCGGTAAACCTGACTTCAGTATCAGGCAAACTGGTTGAAACTTAGTAAAGAACAAAATTGTCAGACACACAGATGAACATAATTTATTGGGGAATAGTCAACATGGTTTTTGTAAAGGGAAATCATGCCTCACCAATCTACTAGAATTCTTTGAGGAGGTCAACAAGCATGTGGACAAGGGGCATCCAGTGGATATAGTGTATTTAGATTTTCAGAAAGCCTTTGACAAGGTCCCTCACCAAAGGCTCTTAAGCAAAGTAAGCAGTCATGGGATAAGAGGGAAGGTTCTCGCATGGATTGGTAACTGGTTAAAAGATAGGAAACAAAGGGTAGGAATAAATGGTCAGTTTTCAGAATGGAGAGAGGTAAATAGTGGTGTCCCCCAGGGATCTGTACTGGGCCCAGTCCTATTTAACATATTCATAAACGATCTGGAAAAAGCGGTAAACAGTGAGGTGGCAAAATTGGCAGATGATACAAAACTACTCAAGATAGTTAAGTCCCAGGCAGACTGCGAAGAGCTACAAAAGGATCTCTCAAAACTGGGTGACTGGGCAACAAAATGGCAGATGAAATTTAATGTTGATAAATGCAAAGTAGTGCACATTGGAAAACATAATCTCAACTATACATATAAAATGATGGGGTCTAAATTAGCTGTTACAACTCAAGAAAGAGATCTTGGAGACATTGTGGAGAGTTCTCTGAAAACATCCACTCAGTGTGCAGCGGCAGTCAAAAAAGTGAACAGAATTTTGGGAATCATTAAGAAAGGGATAGAAAATAAGACAGAAAATATCATATTGCCTCTATATAAATTCATGGTTCGCCCACACCTTGAATACTGCGTGCAGATGTGGTCGCTCCATCTCAAAAAAGATATATTGGAATTGGAAAAGGTTCAGAAAAGGGCAATAAAAATTATTAGGGGCATGGAACAGCTTTGGTGTGAGGAGACATTAATAAGACTGGGACTTTTCAGCTTGGAAAAGAGATGACTAAGGGGGATATGATAGAGGTCTATAAAATCATGACTGGATGGGCAGCGATGGTGTCCCTAGCCTCTGTTCGCTGGAAGCTGGGAATGGGCGACAGGATGGATCACTTGGTGATTCCCTGTTCTGTTTATTCCCTCTGGGCACCTGGCATTGGCCACTGTCGGAAGACAGGATACTGGGATAGATGGACCTTTGGTCTGACCCCCCAGTATGGCCGTTCTGATGTTCTTATGACAGGTCAGATGGGGTGAGGCTAAATTGTGGAAGCTTTGTAAGTAATGACAAGAAGTTTGTGTTGGAAGAGGGGGAGCCTCTTGGAAGGGGGAGGGCAGGTGTGGTGACCTGTTTACAAGCTTTGTTGCAGCAAGAAGCTGCCTTACTCTCTGGCCTGAGAAGGGGGAACCAACTTTAGGCGTGGCAAATAGCATGTGGATAGTTTAACCTCAAGACTTCTGCATGGCAGGGGTGTTTAAAAACAAGGATCAACCATGGCAACTAAGTAAAAATACCCTACGCTTTGTCCCCTCCCCAGGCCCCTTCTCAGGGCTTGTCTACTGGTGCAGCTGCACCTCTGTAGTGCTTAGTGAAGATTTCACCTATGCTGGCAGGAGAGCTTCTTCCATGGGCAGAGGTACGCCAGCTCCCGGGGGGTGGGTGGGTAGCTATGTCCAGTGGGAGATGCCCTCCCCGTGACGGAGCGCTGTCTACACCAGGGGTAAGGCCCGTATCACTGCATCACGCCGGGGGATTTTCCACACAGCCAAATGACAGAGTTCTACTGAGGTCAGTTTGGGGTGTAGACCAGGGCTTGTTCTCCTGCCCTGTCCCCCCCGGATCTGCTCCCTAGAGGGGACAGCGCTGCTGGGACCACGGGGGAAGGCGAGGCTGGGGCCCCGGCCCGTGTCCGCCCTGGGCAGGGGATGGTGGCAGCGGTGCCCGTCCAGCGCCGCGGGTTGGGTCTGGAGACCCCTTCGGCTACCGCAGGCTCCGGCCCAGCTGGGGGACTGGTTCCCCTCCGAGTGGTCTTGGCTTCTGCCTCTTTAAGAGCTGGCCCCGCCCCCATCGCCGTGACGCACTAGATGCTTCCGCTCGGGGCTTTCATCCCTACGAGGCCCCCGTCTCCTATAGCTGTCTGAGTTTGTGCCTGTAGGGCGAGCTCAGCAGCAGGGCTCAGAGCTGCCGCTGCCTCGGCCTAGCCGCTCTGCATAGCTAAGGCTCGGGGAGGGGGTGGGCTGGGCATGGGAGCGGGCGGCAGGGACCGCTGGAGAAAAGCCTTTTCCAGTCAGGCGCTGGGTGGGCGCCTGGAAATGCGCCGCGGGTGAGAGAGGACCCTTGTTGGGCCGGAAGCGGCCGCGCGGCGGAGAGCAGCGACGTGCCGATGGGGTCCGGGTCGCGGAGCCCCGCGGGGCGCTCGCGGCACCGGAGCCGCAGGGAGGCGGGCGGGTCCCGGGAGAGGAGGCGCCGCCGGTCCCGCTCCGGGTCCAGCGGCGCCAGCAGCGATGGAGGCGGCCGGGCCCGGGGTAGCGAGACGCGGCGGCGCAGGAAGCCGGGCTCGGGGTGAGACGCGGCCCCCGGACAGGAGCGGCCGGGGCGGGTCGGTGCCCGCTGCAGGGACAGGGACAGGCCCAGCCCGGGGCTCTCTGATCTGGGGCGAGTCGCTTCACCCACCCCCGGGCCTCCCCCCTGAGCAGGTGAACGGGGGAGCGCGGCCTGGGCCCATTGCCCCGGGGGAGCCGCGAGCCGGCCCCCTCCCTGTCCCGGGACAGGCCGAGCTGGGCAAGGCCCCTCGGCGGGCGCAGCTCTACCGAGAGCGAAGCGGCTTCTGCGGGGGTAGCTGTTCCCGCGTGGGAAGGGGAACAACCCACAGCGGCTTTGTCCCCACCCCAGGGTGTAACTAGTCTGATAAATCACACCCCTAACCAGCAGCGTTATCCTGGTTCCAACCTTGGCCTGAACCTCGTACAGACATTGTCTGGTTGGTTGTGGCTTCATCCCGAATGCAAGTTGCGGGTGTGTGAGCTGGCAACAGGAGAGGCAGCCTGATTGAGAGGAACAAGCCCAGGGCTGAAAGTCAGGAGATCCAAGATCTTTTCCTGGCTCTGCCACTAACTCGCTGCGTGGCTTCACGTCTGTACTTCCTCTGGCGGTGAAATGTAGCGAGCACTTACCCATCTCAGGGTTGTGAGGGTGAATGAATGAATAAATGTTTGGACAGCTAGATAGGCAGGTTGCTATGTAAGCCCTGTGCTGCTATGCAGGTCTTTCTCTGAGGTTGTAGCTATCACTAGGGTGGTGTTGTTGTTTTTTTCTAGCTCTGACTCTGATGAGAGAAAGAGATGGAGAAAGAAGAGAAGCAAAAGCAGGGACCGGCACCACAAAAGCCAGAAGAAACGCCACGCTCGGTCACGGGATCACTCCTCTAACTCAGACTCTGAGGCAGAGAGAGAGAAGAAAAGAGGCCGCAGCAGAGAGAGGAGAAGAAAGCGATCCAGTTCCAGGTCTTCTGTGTCTTCCGTCACATCTCCCTCTCCTTCACGTGAGGAGCTGGGGCAACAGCTGAGCCTTCAGGAGCGACTCAGACTGAAAGAGGAGAAGAAGCAGCAGGCTGAGATGATGAAGGCATTGGAAACACCGGAGGAGAAGAGGGCTAGGCGGCTGGCGAAGAAGGAAGCCAAAGAGAGGAAAAAGCGTGAGAAGATGGGCTGGGGAGAGGAATACATGGGCTACACCAACACCGATAACCCCTTTGGGGACAACAACCTGCTAGGCACCTTCATCTGGAGCAAGGTGAGGCCTCTCTCTATCTCAACGGGCAGTGAGTTGGGGGGAGATAAATGGGTTCTTCCCTCCCCCAAGCTTCCTGTGTCATGAGATAATCAGGGCTGTGCTGCTCCCTGTGGTAGAGCTTCCCCCTGGGAACCTCAGTCAGTTCAGCATTGCACATTCCAGCTGAGCTGCTGCGCAGAGGGCCAAGGGGTGATGGTGCAGGGTCAGGGATGATAAGGCGCAGGGAGGGACACGTTTGCCTGGGGTGAGTTGGGGGAGGAATTTGAAAAGGCTAGGAACAGCAAAGCAAAAGTGAGGGTGAAACCTGCACTGAGGACACGCTGGAGAAGCACCCACTTGTTTTGAGCAATTATCTTAAAGATCCAGTGCAGTTTTATTCGGTCTGCCATTGAAAACCTATGCATTACATAGAGCTTAATGGTAATTTAGGTGGGATGGTGGCTTCTTGTGTATCCTCGTTGAGGAGGCCACAGCTAAATTCCTGGGGGCCACTGGCTGAGTTCTAGTCCCACAGCATCATCTGCGATGAGGTGGAGTGTGTGGATGGTAGCACCCTGCAGGGGGCTTGTATTGGGGACTTCCTGCCACTTCACAAATGGCAACTGAGAGGCCTGTTGGGGGCTGCTTACTCTTGGTGCGGGATTGATTCTAGGCCCTGGAGAAGAAAGGGATCGGCCACCTGGAGGAGAAAGAACTGAAGGAGAGAAACAAACGAATCCAGGAGGACAACCGCCTGGAGCTGCAGAAGGTGAGAGCCAGTAGCCCTTTTCGGCCTGTGACCTGCCGCGGAGCTAATGCAGGCGAGGACACTGGCCCCGATATAAGTCACTTGGTTACTGGTGGCTGTCTTTCTCTTCCCCTCCCTCTTCTCCCTCCCGGCCTCCGCCAAGTCTAATGCTCCCATCTTTGGGCGAAGAGAGTGGCATGTGTGGTGATGGGGATGTGGTGGTACAGGTTCTTGCCCCTGCACAGAGGTGGTGCCCTATTCTCAATACTGAATCCTCAGAATGAGCTGGTCCCTGGTCTCTTTAATGACACACTATTAAACCAATAGAGATCTCAGTACCCCCCAGCCCTGAGCATGGGCCCAGTCAGGGGTCTGTGCTGCCTGTATCTAGTGAGTTTCAGCTCTCCTCTCGTCCATGCCAGCATTGGTTCTCCTCTTGCTTGGTGCCCTTCCACTCCCTGTAAGGGCAGGGCCAATCGTGGGAAATGGGGCAGTTTTGCGCTGGGTTGGATTTGAAGCTAGCATCCATGAGTTCACATGCTGGGACTGGCTGAGCCTTTGGGGAATGGTGCCCCAGGCTGTGCACTGCAACAGTCTTCCCTCCCTCTGAGACAGGTGAAGCAGCTGCGCTTGGAACGGGAGCGAGAAAAGGCGATGCGCGAGCAGGAGCTGGAGATGCTGCAGCGGGAGAAAGAGGCGGAGCACTTCAAAACCTGGGAGGAGCAAGAGGACAACTTCCACCTCCACCAGGCCAAGCTGCGGTATTGTCTCAGGCCTGTGTGCTGGGGGCAGGCACGGTCTGAGCCCTGGTAGCTGGAGCTCAGTGTGTTCTCTTGTTACCTGCAGATCAAAAATCCGGATCCGGGACGGCCGTGCCAAACCCATCGACTTGCTGGCCAAGTACATCAGTGCAGAGGATGACGACCTGGCAGTGGAAATGCATGAGCCTTACACATTCCTGAATGGCCTGACGGTCTCCGACATGGAGGATCTGCTGGAGGATATCCAGGTACCTCTCCTCCAGTACTGCTGCTTCCAGGCCTCCATTCTCTAGCTGGGGGGGTTAGATGCTGTCCGAGCTTCCTTCCTGTCCTTTGCACGCTGTCCCTGTGCCCCACCTCTGGTGCTCATCAGCTCTGCCTCCAGTGCTCACTGGAATAGCAACACCTGCAGCTGCAAATGGCCTGATTCAAACAGCAGGGCCAGGCCTCGCCTCTGAATTCACATGGCTCTTTGTTTCAGGTTTACATGGAACTGGAGCAGGGCAAGAATGTGGATTTCTGGAGGGACATGACCATTATCACTGAGGACGAGATAGCCAAACTTCGTAAACTAGAGGCTTCTGGGAAAGGCCCAGGTAAGGGGGAGGGGAACGCTGGCTGTCAGCACCTGCATTGCTTATGCACAGCAGTGCCGGTGAGAGAGGGGATCATGGCCTAGTAGTTAGAGCAGAGGCCTGTGTTCTGCTCTGCCCCATCTCGCTCTCTGACCTTTGTCAAATTGCTTCTCCTCTCTGAGCTGTTGTCACTGAGGCGGTGACCTCCCTGCTGTGAGCTCTGCACTGTCTGTGTAGTGCCAAGCAGGCTCAAGGGTGCTGTAGAATAATCCAGAGCTACGTGGAACCGTGGTTCTGGAGTGTGGGCGATTCCTGGCCCTGGAACTCTCGGTTGCCTGGCTCTAGGCTGAGCTGGGAGGCTGTAACCAAGCCAGGTGAATTCCCCTGCGTTCGTACAGAGAACTCAGTACATGTGCAGTGGCTTGTCAGCTCTGGCTGGTAAAATCCTGAGTCTCAGTGATTGCAGCTTCCCAGCCTTGCTTCCATGGCCTGTATCAAAGGGCTTTGCTCTCCTGCAGTTGCGATTTCTCTTGCTGCTGCCAGGGGGCGCCCATGTGCCATTATTGCTCTTCCTGTTTGAGCTCAGTGGAACTGAGGCCCCATGGCTCCGTCCTGCCCGCGAAGTGATGGGGCCCTGGGGCCCGGAGGTTGCCGCAGAACCACTGGCACAGTGAGCGTCAGCGTCACACGCTGAGAGCACGATCCTGTCACCTGAGCCCAAGCTTGTGCCAAAGCTCCTGGGTTAGGAACTCTCAGCCAAGAGCCTGCTAAAGGCCTGAGTGTGGCATGTGCATCGGAGCCCAGGCCCCATCCTGAATGGTGCTTGGCACTCAATGCCCATTGAAGGGAATCAAGGGCACTCGGTGCTTGGCAGGGTTGGGCCCTGCCAAATGCCCCGTTCAAACGGCCTTCAGTCTGTAGCCGAGCAACACCTGACATCTGGGCAGGGGGAATCCGGCAGGGGTTCAGTGGGGTTCGTGCACCAGGCAGGGAGGGTGCATTGAAGGAGTGTCCGATCCTGGAGGGGTGGCTCTGCATTGTGGCTCAGGAACCGGTGGGTCATTCTGTCCCGTAGCACCCGTTGGGGCTAACTCGCGTTAACCCTCGTCTGTCCTCACGACAGGAGAGCGCCGAGAAGGAGTCAATGCCTCCGTCAGCTCGGACGTGCAGTCAGTGTTCAAGGGGAAGACATACAACCAGCTGCAAGTGATCTTCCAAGGGATCGAGGGCAAGATCCGAGCAGGGGGGCCCAACCTGGACATCGGTTACTGGGAGAGTCTGCTGCAGCAGCTTAAAGCGTATATGGCCCGGGCCAGGTGAGCGGGAGAGGGAGCATATCCCGTCTGGGTCAGGGCTGCACCCCCAAGGTGGAGTATCAAGCACCCGCCTGCAGTGGGTGGTACTGGGGAATTGTGTCACAGATCACGGGGGTGGGAGGTGTGCCAACATGCCAAGCGGGACATGGGCTTTTTAGCTCCCTATCGGCTGGTTATGGGTTGCTTCCCTTCCGGGGTTGAGGGGACGGAGAGTGCCCCACGTCTCCTTTAGCCTGGGTGACAGGTTCAGACGCTGCACAGGACAAAGGCTAATATTGAGTCCGCTCCTCTTTCGTCGCCCCCCACGATGACTGGGGCTCAAGATGTCTGACCCTGAGCCGTCTGTGTAGGTCTCCCTGGGAGCATTGCTGGAACCTTCGGGGCAGGACCCTGGGCGCTGAGCCCTGTTTCACACCTTGCTCTGGTGGTGTATGTGATGCCAAGGGGGTCTCAGCTCGGGGAAGGCCGTGCTGGGGGCCTCACCCTTTGCTCTCGTCACTTCATTGCAGGCTTCGGGAGCGGCACCAGGACGTGCTGCGCCAGAAGCTGTACAAGCTGAAGCAGGAGCAGGGAGTGGAGAGTGAGCCGCTTTTCCCCATCCTGAAGAAGGATCCGTCTTCTCCCAGCGACAGGTACACAGAGCGGGCGATTTCCTTCTGGTGCCAGAAGCTGACAGGGTTATTTAGCTCCGACCCCTCCAGCCCCTGAGAGCACTCCCTCAGCTGAGCGCCCCCCGTCAGCGAGCCAACGGCTGAGCAGCACGGCCCAGCAGGTAGAGCACAGGACTCCAGGGTTCAGTTCCAGGTTTTGCTGCTGCCTCGCTGTGACTTCGCCGAAGTCCCTTCCCCTTGCTGTCCTCGGCTTCCCCATCTGCACAGCAATGCTAACCGAGGGAAGCCTTGAGCTCTGGGGATGAAGGGCAGAGGGTTGCTGGCATTTCCCATGGACAAGGTTTGCGATGAGGTTTTTAGTAGCAGTTGGATTCCCAAACCTCTGTAAAACCCTCCCGTGAAGTCTGGTTGGGTTGACTGTCGGCCTGGGGGGAGTTCATCTGATTGAGAAGTTCCCGAGATCCAGCTCCCAAGCAGTGGGAAGGTCGGCTGGCTTCGAGCACTGTTGTGCACACAGATGGGAAGCGTAGGTGTGGGCAGGTTTCACCTGACCCCTCCATCTCTGGGCTGCCGTTGGTCAGATCTAGTGTCCGGCGTGATGGGCTGGCTCCCAGGTGATGCATGGTTACCTGGCTGGTTTTACACAGGGGTGCGCCAGGCCGCTGCAGTCCCAGCAGGGGGTGTCACAGTTGGCACGTCAGGAGCAGGGGGAGACTGACCTGAGCTGGGGGAAGGGCCCTGGACATGGTGAGTTAGTGCCCTGCTCCGCTGAACACTGCTGTTTCTGAGCACTTCCCTCCACGCCGCCCAAGGCTTCCTGCGGCCGGAGACGGCAGCGGTCGGTCTGTTGGTACCGGTGAGGGGTTGCACCCGTCCAGTGCTGGGAGTAGAACCCATCGCTAGGCTGGCAGCCACACCGCCTTTGGACGGACGGGCTTCGTAGCTCCCTGGAGCCCCGGCTCTCCCCCCAGACCACCCCTCTTCTAGAGCCAGGAATAGAGCCCTGTCCCATAGAACATGGGTTCTCGACCTTCTTCTCTCTGAGGCCCGCCTCGACATGCTATAAAAACACCAGGGCCCAGCTGGTGGGGGAGGCCTCAGGGCAGGGGCCTTGGGCATAGGTGTAGTTTGACTTCTATTTTGGGGGGTCAGGGGCCAGCAGGGCTTGAGCCACCTCCTCATGGCGGGGTCCGGGGGGGGAGTGCCACCTCCACCCCGACTCACCTCAGCAGGCCACCCACCTGTCTGAAGGGGGGGGCAACCAGAAATTATAACTCAAAGGTGGGGGCTTAGCTCAAAAAATTTGAAAACAGCTCAGGGTGCAGGGAGGGGGGTATTAGGGGCTGTGTGTGGGCGGGGGGGCGCTCGGTGCAGGGAGAGGGGCATTAGGGGCTGTGTGCTGGGAGGACTCCCTGTGATCCCTGTTCCCAGAGGGGTCTGGAGCCACGGAGCCGGGTCTCCCCACCCAGGCGGCTCTTCCCAGCTGCCGCTGTGGGAGCAAAGGGGGCTGGGAGCTGAGGAGCAGCTTCAGCAGGAGGGACGGGAACGCTGCCTGCTCCATGCACCAGCCAGAGCAGCAGCTGCCCCTCACTGCCCGGGGTCACGGCAAAACCAGCCGCCTTTGCTGGCACAATGGCAATGCTCCAGGGCCGCCCGGGGGGGGGGGGGAGGCAAATGGGGCAATTTGCCCTGGGCCCCGCAGGGGCCCCCATGAGAGTTTTTCGGGGCTCCTGGAACGGGGTCCTTCACTCGCTCCGGGGGCCCTGGAAAACTCTTGCGGGGCCCGGGCCCCTGGAGCTTCTTCCGCTCTGGGTCTTCGGGGGCAATTCGGTGGCGGGGGGTCCTTCCACTCTGGGACCTGTCGTCAAAGTGCCCCGATGACCCGCGGCGGGGGGTCCTTCCTACCCGGGACCCGCCGCCAAAGTGCCGGGTCTTTGGTGGCAATTTGGCGGCGGGGGCCCCCCGCCGCTGAAGACCCCAGGCCCCCTGAATCCTCTGGGCGGCCCTGCAATGCTCAGTTCGGGTGAGCCTGCTCCGTACAACCTCGATCAGAAATTTTTCTGCCAGGGAGCTGGTTGTGCCACTGCGCTGGAGGGGATTGGGGGTTCAGACGCGGGGCCCCACGGTCCCCTAGAAAAGGCTCGTGGACACCCAGGGGGCTGTGGACCCCTGGTTGAGAACCGCTGCCGTAGAACATCCAGTACCTTTCCCTTCCCCCCCATTCTCTGTGCCAGCACGACTCCAGCCAGCGGGTCCCGCCATGTGGCAGCAGCCGTGGTGCGGGGGCTGGGAATTGCTCACTGGTCGCTGAGTTACCGCTCCTCGTTCCCAGCTGCTCAGCCTCAATCAAAGAGGCTAACGGCGCCTGAGGGGGTTCCCTCCAGTCGGGTTCCTGCCGTTTTAGGCACATCTTCTCCCCGTCGACCCCCAGACGATGGATCCAGCAAGGTGCCCCCATCCTTCCAGGGGCCAGCGTCAGTGCCTTGTCGCGAGCGCTGCAGGGTGGGTTCTTGCCCTTCCCCAGCAGCCTTGCACCAGCCCCCGTTCTGAGTGTAGTGTTTGGGGGGTGTCCCCGTGCCCCTGCCTGCCAGAAGTCCTCTCCTGGGAGGAAGGGCGCCGTGGTGGTTGCCCTGGAGCAGCAGTAGCCCGTGGCAGCTTCGCTGTGTTTGGCCTCCGTAGGCTGCAGCAGCTCGATGGCGCCGGGCCGGCACAGGTGAGAGGTGTCTCTGCGGAAGAGGCATTGTGGCACATGGCAGACCTAGCGTTCACCCGCAGAGGGCAGTGCCCTGTAGGAGCAGGCGTTAGAGCCGTCCTCACTGTCCTTCCACACTGCCTGAGCCTGCCCCGCGTGACCTGACCGTCCAGGTTCTCACCCGGCCCCCAGCGCCGTAACCTCTCTCCCCTCTGCCTTGCAGGCCGGACCCAGAGGAGAGCGCTCCAGCGCAGCCGGGCCCCTCCACGGCGGGAGCCCCCTCGGAGGGCAGGGGAGAGGCAGAGGCCAAGGCGGAGGGGGAGGGGGAAGCGGTGCTGATGGAGGAGGACCTGATTCAGCAGAGCTTAGACGACTACGACGCCGGGAGATACAGCCCCAGGCTGCTGAACTCCCACGAGCTGCCCTGCGACGCCCACGTGCTAGAGGCCGAGGAGGATCTCCAGCGGCTGCTGCTCTTGAGACAACAGCTCCAGGCCACAGGTAACAGTTGCTGGCTGGCCCGGGTGTGTCCATCTCCTCAGGGGCTCTGTCACTGAGAGGTGCTGGCTGGCACTGCCTATGGGGCCTAGGTCTCTAGGATAACAGCAGTTCTCATGGGGGCCGCAGAGCAGCTCCCCGGGGAAGGCCTGGCAGCCTCCTTGCTTGGGACAGACTCAGCAAAGCCCTGGGGAGTCTATGTGCCTGCCCCAGGGTGTGTGGGATGAGGGGCTGGAGGAGCCTGAGCAGACCAAGGACCCACTACCCGGGGTTTGGCTATCATCTCCCCAGGTTATTGCCTCCTATCAAGCAGCCAGCCCATCCCCTTGGAGCCTGAGCCGGAGCCCTCTGCACCCCGTTCTCAGCGGCCTCCAGCCTGGCCCCTGGAAGGGTGTGCGGGCTCCTCCCTCCCCTCCTTAGCATGCCTCAGACCGGCCCCCAGCACAAGTCCTTGGGCTGCCGGGGGTGGAACAGTCAGGCCTCAAGTCCCCGTCCCAGGCTGGGTCCTGCTGGGGCGGATCCAGTGGTGTGGCCTCACCCTGTGCTGCCCTGGGAGGGTGCCAGGCCTGTGCCCCCAGAGCAGTAGTGCTGCAGGCCTCGCCCACCAGGCTGCCCTCTAACCAACCCCTTGCCCCTTCCTCCACAGGAGACGCTAGCGAGAGCGCCGAGGACATTTTCTTCCGCAGGGCCAAGGAGGGCATGGGCGCTGACGAGGCCCAGTTCAGTGTGGAGATGCCCCTGACAGGCAAGGCCTACCTATGGGCTGACAAGTACCGGCCCCGCAAGCCCCGCTTCTTCAACCGCGTCCACACGGGCTTCGAGTGGAACAAGTACAACCAGACGCACTACGACTTCGACAACCCGCCGCCCAAGATCGTCCAGGGCTACAAGTTCAACATCTTCTACCCCGACCTGATCGACAAGCGCTCCACGCCCGAGTACTTCCTGGAGGCCTGTCAGGACAACAAGGACTTTGCCATCCTGCGCTTCCACGCAGGCCCGCCCTACGAGGACATCGCCTTCAAGATCGTCAACCGGGAGTGGGAGTATTCACACCGCCACGGCTTCCGCTGCCAGTTCGCCAACGGCATCTTCCAGCTCTGGTTCCACTTCAAGCGGTACCGGTACCGCAGGTGAGGGTGCTGGGCGTCTGCCCGCCATCTGCCGACTCTGGGCTGCCTCCCTTTGGAGGGACCTTTTGCTGGACCCGCGGGCGAGCACTCTCACATCAAAGGGGGCAGGTTCTGCGTGCTCTGGATTGCAGGGGCATTCCCCGCCGGCGGGCCCTCTGGCGCGCTCTGTATATTGCTTTGTGTCGGGGGGGGGGGCTTTCTTCTCCTCTCCTTGTGTTTTTAATGGGCTCTGGTAGGGGATCCTGGGATGGGTGTGGTGCGACTCACCCAGCAAAATAAACCTAGATTCTCTAAACGTGGCGCTCTGGGAGCGATAGCCCCTCAGGGCGTCTGGGCCGCAAGGGGCCAGGAGAGCCCAGAGGCAGTGCTAGCCTCCTGCCGTTTGCAAAGCAGCCGCTAGAGGGTGGCCAGCACTCTGCTTCGCTGGGTCCTCCCTGTTCCCTTGAGCTCTGTTCCCAAGGGAGCTCTCCCCGTCCGTCCCTGCTGCGGGAAGCTAGCATCCTGGGGCGCAGGAGGGGAAGGGCTTGGGGCACTGCCCATAGCCATCAGCCCATCCCAGATAACCACCAGCCTCTCCTGGGAACCCACCCACCACAGGTGCACTACTGTGAAGGTGGCACTATGTCCCCTGTGCACAAGCAGAGGGATGTGGCATGAGGTAAAACCACTGTGCCAGGCCTGCCCCCTTCCCCTCACTGCTGGGGCGAGTCCCAGCCTCGCAGGCCAGCGAGAGCATCGCGGGGCTAAAGGGCGTCAGCTGCTGTCGCATGGAGAGGGGACGGTGAGCAGCCAGCGCAGTGCCGTGAGCTCCTGCGCTCCGTTCCCAGCTCAGTCCTCCGCCGTGGGCGCACAGCGTCGCTTCTCCAGGGCCTGTTGGATCCATCTGAGCCCCTGCTGCCCCTGGGTCTGACTCCCATCACTCCAGCCCCGGGCCCCCCCTCCCCAGTGTCACCTGATTGTCTACAGAGGTGCGGAATAGAACCCAGGCGTCCTGCCTCCCAGCCTCCTTTGCTCACCAGTGGGCTGCCTTTGATGGGGTGCTATCCACTGCTACCCGAGCCTGCCTCTGCAAGCTCCTCACTCCCTGGTGTAGGGAGCTAGCAGCCAGCGCCCTGTGTGCTGACAGGCCGAGCAGCAAGGAGCTGGCTCTGTCCTGAGCTGACCGGGCCTTCCCCGCTGACGGTTTCCAGGCCTGAGCGGCCCATGCCAGACTCCGCTCAAGGGAGATGTTCCCCAGAAGTGGCCTCAGCGCCCTTTCTTGTGGGGCCTTCACTGAGATCCTGTTTTGGGAGCTCGGCCTGGCACGCTTCCCTCCCTTCTCAGCCAGCCTCTTTTCACTTCCCTGCTGGGAGCCCAGTGCCCCCTGCTCCTGCTGCTGCCACCTCTGCCCCTTTCCAGGGCCCACGCTGCCTTCCGTGCCCAAGATGAAAGTTGCCGGGGGCTGGTGTCCAGCTGGGAGGGGCCGTGCGGGGGACGTTTTTACCCACCAGCTGTTGCTCTGCTGCTGAACTTGGAGGAAGAGCGCTGTCCTGTTCCGCAGACAGTGACCTGGGCCACGTGCCTAGGATAGTCATGGCCTGTCAGCAGCTGGCATCTCCCAAGCGGCTCCTCTCCAGCTGCATCTCTTCCCTCCCCCCCCCCCAGTGGGGAGCAGCAGGCCCAGCCCCCTGGAATGGGAGAGGTGCTACAAAGGGGTTGGCCTGAGGTTCAGCTTTCCCCTGGGACACCAGCTTTCTAATGGGGCGATAGGTGTCCCCCGTCTCCCTGTGGCTGGCGCTGCTCTGCCAGTCCCAGCTGGCCACAAGACATTGTCCCACCGCTCCTGGTACCTCCTGACTGATCAATGGCTCTTCCTGGCTGGCTATAACGGTTCCGCCAGCCCGGGCGGGAGGCGGTGGGAGAGGCCAGGCGCTGAGGGCGGCAGGCCCAGCTTTGGGCGCACTCATGCTCTGGCACCCGTGGCACAGGCAGGCTCAGCAAATGTGGGTTAAATGGGCTCGGTTTGGCATGTGCAAAGCCCCGTGTGTTTTTCGGGAGGGGCTGCCCTGTGGTTGGCTTCTCTGCCACCCATCAGCGTCACATGTAGGAAGGACGGGAGTTAACCCTGAGCCAGGGCCAGCTGCTGCGGCAAAGTGACCTATCCAGCTGTGCACACATGGGGGGGCTGTGCCAGCGTCACACCGGGCCCATAGCTTGGCCCACACGTTAGCGGCTGGGATTGGGCCCATGGACCTGTGGGGGCAGCTGTTGTATGGCCTGGCCCATAGGTACATGTGATGTGGCATGGGCCCCATGCTGCCCTCTGGTGGGCATCTTGCCTGGCCAAGCTGCCTTTTTAAGTGCAAGTCTCACAGGCTGGTCCTGGCAGCTCCTCCAGACCCATCTCGCCTTGGCGAGGGCCCAGGGCCTGCCCCCTTCCAGGAAGGGGGCACACGCCCAGTGCCCCCTCAGCTCTTTGAATTGCAGTTTCCTGGCCGTGAGCAGGAGGCGGTGCCGGCCGGGGACCTGGAAACGCAGCTCGGGGTATTGAATCCACTAGGTCGCCGGGGCTGGAGCACAGGATGGGAGAAGCAGAAGCCCCAAGGCTGCTGGGGACACAGAAATAACAAGGCCAGCGCTATCTGCAGCCGCTTTCGGATTCCTCTTGGCCCAGACCAGCCTGCGCTGTGGCTGCAAATCCTCCTCGGCTCCCCTCAGCGTGTGACGCGCATCCCTGGGGTTGTTTAACGGGGGCGGGGGGCAGATGCTTGCTCGGAGCCGCTAATGGGCGTGGGGATTTAGGAGACAATAAACACGGGCTTGAGGGATTCCAGATGGGAGCAAAGTCTGGCCCAGAGAGGAGCCTGCGCTTTTAACCAGGAGAGCCCCTGGGCTGGGAGGTGCCAGTTGGTGGTTGGGTCAGGACAGCGTATGGACTGGGATAGCACATGGGCCGGAAGCTGGTATATGGGCCACCAGCTAGTGTATGAGTGGGGCTAGCATGTGGGCTGCCAGCTCACACGTGGGAGGGGGCAGCGTATGTCCCGGGACACTGTATGGGCCACCAGCTGTGTATGGGCTGGGGGACAGGCAACGATAGGACTTTCCTGGCAAAGTCGGCCTGCTTTGAATCCAGCGTTTGGCCTGGGAGCTCAGAGGTGATTTTGAACCAAGCATCAGACCAGCACAGCCCCTCCTGGGGGTACTGATATACTGGTCTACAGGCGCCTTATCCCAGAGTAGCTGGTTCCCCTTCCCGTGCAGGGCCAGCTCTACTGGCACAAGCCCCTCTAGACCGGGGTTGCTGCAGCCACGTTCTGGGTGTGCTGTGGTTAAAGTGACAGTTTGTGTGTCAACAGGCCTGACTGTGCTGGGGGCAATCTGCTTCCCCTCGCAAGGCAGAGCTGGGGAGTGATACCATAGCGAGGCAGCAGCACGGGGTAACTGTCCATCCCAAAGCCCCTAGGCCTCACCCCAGAGACTTGGGGGTTCCCCCACAGCTCAATGGTGAGCCAAGGGGAAGGACTGGGATCCTCAAGGACCCAGCTGAGGATCCCAGTGGCTTTTCCCACCCACAGAAAATCTGAGCCCTTTGAACCACATCTGCACAGCCCCTGTGGTGGTGTGCAGTGAAACCCCAGTGTTAGGAGAGGAATTCTTCCTCGCTGACGAATGAGGTCAGAGTCGAGTCCCTTTACTGCAAAGAGGTGCAAGAACCACGTGGTAACAAACCAGCTGTGCTGGCTGAGTCCTCCAAGGAAACAGACTTCATGTCTGAGCCGCACAACACCCAGAGCCAGGCACGTGGCTAGGACACCAGGACAGTCAATCGCCATCTAGCGGCTAGAGCTCGGGGTTCCAATCCCACTCTGGGAGGGGGCTGGGAGCCAGGACTCCTGGGTTCTCTCCCTGGCTCTGGGGGTTAGAGCAGGGGGCTGGGAGCCAGGACTCCTGGGTTCTCTCCCCAGCTGTGGGAGAGGAGTGAGGGCTGGTGGTTGAAGCAGGAGGTTAGGACTCCTGCATTTTCTTTCCTATTGAGGAAGGGGAGTGTAGTCGGGGGCGGGGGGGAGGAGATGCTCTCAGGACTCTGGGGTTCAATTCCAAACCCTACCACTCACTCTGTGACCTTGGGCACATCCCTTCTCTGCTCTGGGCCTCACAGGAACAGCGAATTTACCCATGTCACAAAGAGGCTGGGAAACTTCTTAACCATGTGCTAAGGTGCGCAAGCTCCGCAGATGACAGGAACTAAGGAAAGGCAGAGGACGATTCATTCCCTCAGTGGGATCCTGCTGCATCACAGACAGATCCCAGGGCACAGGATCCCATACATTTACTCTATGGAGGAGCAGCTTTCAGCCACTCTCCAGAGGGCCAGCAACGCATGTGCAGATGGTGCCCTCAGCTGAGCCTGCAAGGCCGGGTTCCTGAGGTCTGAGAGCAGGGGCATCGTCCTCTTAAACTGCTTGACCTTCACCTTGGAAGTCTCGATAATTTCCCAGTTCCAATCCTTTGGGTGGAAAGGAAGCAACGCCAGGTTTGTGGGGGGCTGGGGGAGTCAGCAGGGATGGGGGAATTCTCATTGGGGGGGTCCCTTGACACACCTTTGACGTGCATCACCCCCACCCCCAGAACGCCACACACTGATGAACAAGAGACCACACCCCCAATGGGCTGAGCCTCCGCACCACGTCTCATGAGGCCAGGAAGCGAGGGCCCTGCAGCTGCACCAGCCCAAGTGGTCCTCCCATGACCTCCAGCTAAGGGCTGCAGGAGCAGGGAGCACAGCGCTAGGAAAGGCCCCTTCTCTGCTGTCCCCCAAGTGCCCCGCTTCCCCAGCCATCACCCTCCAAAGAGCCCTTCCCAGCCACCACAAGGGGACCCCAGCAGCGCCGGGCCAGGGGAGCTTCTCTCTTACCTGGAGCTTCTGGAAGAGCCCATAAGCAGTCTGGGAGCCACCCTCCCACAGCTCACAACAGGGCATTCGAGGAGCCTGCACCCCCTGACTGCCATGTCTGGGAACTGCCCCCACTCAGAACCAC